TCTCATAGATGGCGCTACGGCTAAAAAGTCGTTGAAAACCAAATACAAAAAGAAACGACAACAAGCACATACGGAAATTCGTGAGGTCCCCTGGTTCGTTCCGTGGCTTAGTTGGTATGGTGTCTGGCACGGTTTGCTAGGAGACGTCGGTTCGAATCTTTGTATCAACAACTATAATAAACTTCGGTGTTTCAAAATTCTTTTCTGCCTTAACTTTGGTTTTGGAGTTCGTTTTGGAAATATAAAATCTTGATTAAGCTATTTTCCTCATTCCAAGTCAAAGTTCGTTTTACAAATCTCAATCTCAAATTTGTAATATTGACATTTAAAAAAGGGCCTCAAGTTTAGTAAATGTGTCATTTCTACTGACCTTTGCGCTATCAAAGCAAAACTCATCATTTGTGAATTGAGCGTAGAATTATCCACAATATCACATATGTGTTGTTGGCCGTCCACTATTATTAGTAGAGGTAGTGTTCCTTGAGAAAGAGTTCGTCCAGTGAAGTACCGCCACTTTACCTATTTCTGCCGCCAAGCAGTAATGTGAACATTACGGCGTTTCTGTTTTAAAGTGCTGGTGAAATTACAGGCACAGGAGACTTATCAACTAATGTGTCAGGGTGACGAGTGCAATGGCAGTGCCTCTCAGTTCTTTCTGAATTAACTGTTATGGACAGGCATGTCGCTTAAAACCATGCACACGACTTATTCATTCAGTCACTTGGTATAATAAAAGTAGCCTATATATGTAGCCGTTTGCCTGCGATTACACCAACTGTCCTCACCCCATAATCTAAAAAAAATGTTTGCTTTGCAGAAGAAGTAGGTCCAGCGCAGCGCACCCAGTAAAATATTTCTTCAAAAGTCTATAAAACATCAGGTTACATATCTAGATTCTAGTTACCTTTCAAGAGATGTTAACCCTCAAACGCTTTTAGCTCCAAACATTGAATTGAAACATTTCACGCGAGGTATATAGTTTCAAGCACACCGTCTTACTTTCGACCTAATTTACTAATGCATGCTCAGGGTCTTGCAGTTTTGTATAGAATGCCTTTATTAAAAAATATCTAGATAATACTAACTTTACATAGGCATGTCGAATTAATTGTATATAATGTTTTTAATGTTTTCAACCAACTTCAAAAAAGGAGCCTGTTCTCGATTCGTCAGTTGTTTGTGTGTGTATGTATGTATGTTACGCAATACTCCGACATTTGTGAACCGTATTCTATGATTTTTTTTTGGAAGGGGGGTACTCAGTAGTAGTCCTTTGTAAATTTAAAAAAATATTCCACCTTTAAACACGCCAGCACATCAAGCTACACATTGACGTATCTTGTTCCGTTGCACTGGAGGCGATTTTCGAACAAAAATGTGTAGTCTGATGTGCCGTTGTCCGTACATTAGGGGATTATTCCGGTTTATTGAACTCACTCACTTTCCTTTATATTTATATTAAATTAAGATTAATTTTTTTATGAAATTGTTCCACTACTTTGTTATAATTATTAATACAAAGATCGAATACTTAGAAAAAATTCCTTCGATCCGGCCAGTTTCGAAACGACGTCTTCTAGCAAACCGTGGCAGACGCTATAAGCCACGGAACGAACCAGCGAACGTCACGAATTTTTCTATGTGCTTGTTTGTTGGACCTTTGTATTTGCTTTTTCAATGACTTTTTTTCACTCACTTTCCGTTAATCGATTTCAAGCAAATTCCAATGAAAATAAAGCACAGCGAAAACGGATAAGGTAATCAAACTAGTAGCAGTCGAGCTCCTTGTGAAAGAATTCATCCAGGGTAGTACTGCCACCTTACCTATTTCTGTCGCCAAGCAGTAATGTCAGCATTACTGTGTTCCGGTTTTGAAGGGTAAGCGAGAAATAACAGGCACATGGGACTTGTCAACCTATGTCTTTAGGTGACGGGCGCAGTGGCAGTGCCCCACAAATCTTTGCGATTTAAAGCTCTGAGTGGCACTGCAACTGTTATGGATAGACGTGTAGCTTACCATCAGGCGCACGACTTGTTCGTCCCTTCACTTAATATTATTAAAAAATATATTGAGGTCGTTTTTTTTAATAAAAAAATTATAATTATTATTAAAATTTAGTATCCTATACATATTGGGTGCATTTTAAATTCTATCTAAGTTTTACAAACGTATTTCTCTTGCACACCTAACAATACACAATAAACGTGCAAACATCTTTATTTGTAGTTAAAAAAATTGGTGTTGCTTAATTTGTAGAGAAACATAGCGCAGCATAGGTAAACACAGTTATAATTCAATATATTATACTTACTTTTATAATCGTGTATTTATTCATAAAATTCACGTCTGTGTGTCATAATTCAAAAATATGAAGCAAACCGAAAGACTTATGCATATAATACCTTTTTGTAATGTAAATATTTGCCATATTTCAATCACAATATTATTCAAAACAGATGGCAAGAAAATGTTAGTGAATTTTTATGTCGAAAGAAAATATTTTTGTAACTAACATAAACAAATTTCCGTTACATAAATTAATTGTTTATTTATCTTGTCAACCAATGAACTTGTTTACGAACAAAATTAGACTAAACATTATCAGGTTTTCCGCACTTCAGAGATAATTGAGTTTTTAGTAACTACTGATGTTGTTATTGATTTCATATTAGAATGAATGTAACGTCCTATAATATATTATATCGTACCCTTGGTATAATAATGCGACATGCGTCCATAATACTTTCAAAAATGCTTTTATTAACCGACTTTAAAAAAGGAGGAGGTTCTCAGTTCGACAATAGTTTTTGTGTGTATGTTACGTAATTTTGATAATTCATCTTTGTTGGAAAGAGGTTACCTCATTTACTGGACCCATTTAAATTGGAAGGAAATATTCCACCTCAAAGGATGGCAAACATCAAGGCCTACCCAAAAGATTGCCAGACTAGCCGGTCGGCTTGTCTGTTCAGCAGTAGACGTCTTCCGGCTGATTTCATGATGATGATCACATGAAAGCCATAAAAATAATACGAACTATATGGAACAAAGTATGTGCATATTAATTTTTTTTAGTAGCAGTAGAACTTCTTGTGCAAATTTCGTTCATGGAAGTACTGCCACCTTACCTATTTCTGTCGTCAAACAATAATGTGAGTATTACTGCGATCTGGTTTTGAAGGTTGCTGCTGAAATTACAGGCACATGAACATTGTCAACTTATGTCCCCGCGTGACGGGCGTAGTTGCAGTGCCTCTCAGATCTTTGAGATTTAAAGCTCTGAGTGGCACTGCGACTATGACAGATAGGTTACCTGAAGGTGCACTATTTATTCATCCAATCGTATCATAATACATAATTTCAGTACAGAGTACGAAAAAACCGGCCTCAAACGCCATTCATTCCCTAATTTGCCACCCTTACAGGTGGAATATTTTCTTTAAATGGAATTAAATGGGATCATTTCTGAGTTATCGTCTTTTCAACAAAAAAGTATCATCAAAATCGGTTCACAAATAAAAAAAAACTATAATTTGTCATCATTTGTAGAATCTTTAAACCTGTCTCCTAAGACGTTGTCACTTTGCGGATGTGGCGTTATTACACGAACGATGCCATAATGCTCACGTCTATTACGAAGTCATCTGCAGTGCGCAGTTTTTCAGATACTACATAAATTGTAATCTATTAACATTAACAAAATGCAAACCAATTGTCTTCCTTATCTTTCGTTACTTACCAGTACAATTGTTAAAAGAGACAAACGAGTTGAACCAAATGAAATAGGAGGAGGACTTTAAGACTGATTAATTGAGCATACCGCCATCTTTCACTGAATAAAGTTTATAATTACAGATGTTGTTTCAAATATTGAAAAATGACTGTTTGTTGTACAGTATTTAACAAAAGTTAAATTGAAGGAACTTAAGCGGATTGATTAAAAGTTACACATAAAATGCACATGCCCCCGTTTAGGAATTACATAGTGGTTCTTAAAAAATAACTAGTTTTAAGTACGTAATCTCGCCATCAATTACTTTATGAATTCCACACAAAAAACCCGTGTCGCGGGTGCTATGGACTCACACGAGAAAAATAAATGTAGGCCATACAAATATTTCTCCCGGCCCGGGAATCGAACCTGCGACCTCCGCATGGCAGTATAACTTATATATACTCGTATGGTAACCGTTCGGCCACGGAGGCAGTTAATTTTCTTTAAGAGCACTAAACTTTTTTTAAGGCATGTAATTGTCAAGTCTCAATGCATTTTAACCCCTTAATTCTAACTTTAATTTATTATAACTTTTAGAATCAAATCGATACTTTTATTTCATACATTTATGATAAATAATAATTATAACTTTTATAAATAACACTATCTCAAATGCTTGCTTACTCGCTTTCGTTGTGTTCATTATATCTATTTGCCAAGTTTTATTGAAATCGGTTAACGGAAAGTGTGTGAAATCCAACAAATGGGATTCATGCCCTAATTTGCCACCCTTAGAGGTGGAATGTTTTCTTTTTTCAAATTTGGATTGGACCACTGTTTAGGTACACCCTTTCCAACAGAAAAACAATAATCGAAATCGGTTCACTAATGTTAGAGTAGCGATTACTCTAATAAGTAGTAACGTGCATGTTACGCGATTACTAAAAAAATCTAAATGAGAAACTTTTTTGACGTCGGTTAAAAATTTTCCGAAGAATATATTTTTTGTGCCTATTCATTTTGTTGCAATCCCTTTGCGTTTACAGAAAGCCAGATATTTTTCTCAAATTAAAGATGAAGATACAAGGCCGCATATATTACCCCAAAAAAAACCAATGTGCGGTTTTTGCTGTGCTCTAGTAACGCTTTCGGAGCTGTCTCATCTCTTCAGCTAGTGAAGCAAGACAGACGGTATCGCTCCAAAGTATGTCGTTTTGCGGAAAACCCGTCCTATATTTAGGCGCGGGATTATTTCGGACGCGTCGTGTCGCGGACTGCGTCCCGATACCAATCTAAACACATTACGAACAGACGGCCTAAACTTCGAACGTTTATTGCACCACTGTTTAAACCTTTAAAACTACGTTAATTACAATGTTCAGATAATGTAAACTCATTAAGTTTTAATCACCTTTGAGTTTTTAACGTTGAATATATGTAGTAAAAATCCAAGTGCTATAAAAATTAGGACGAAATTGTACGTGTTTGAAATGGACCGTTATTCACGCAGTTGACTGGAGACATGTTTGTGAAATTAGTGTGTCTAGTTGTTGTGTTTACGTCACAATATGCTTTATCACAAGATGATAGCCCATACCCCATAATCGGTAAGTGGAAACTATTTCTTCGAATCTCACTTTTGCTCCATTACGATGCGACGTGAGTTTCAAAACATCTGTTTATTTACGACTATCAGAAAAATTGGAATTGGCAAACACTTGATCATAAAATTTATATTGAGAATAATTTTACAGGAGGCATATTTTACGAAGATGAAGCAGAAGCTTTGAAAGCGGCATTGGAAATAGGAGCAACGGAATTTCATTTTACTACTTCAATCAAAGAAGTGAAAGAGAGAGGCGATTTTATAAAAGTTAGCGAACTCGTATGCGAACTAGCTTCTGTAAGTTTTCTTTATTCTCGATACTTTATAAATTTTAGCTTATAATGTCAATTGCCGCTCTATGTTAATGTACAAAGTAGATCGTAGAGATGTCAACTTTGACCTATTTTTCTGTACCGTGCCGACCGCAGACGTTTTTCACACCACAAGGTTAACAATGAAAAACGTTTAGCACATTATATTCATAATTTAAACTAAATGATTACAATTTAACTTTAATTTTGAAAATTTACATTTCGAAATCAATCAAAGACGTTTAATGTATATAAAAGATAAAATACGAAATAGAACAATAGAGTTTAATATACAACGTGCATCTTCTTAAATTTAGGAAGGCGTCATCGGAATCATAGATGGTCTAGGTGGACGAGTTAGCGAAAATGTCCAAGCTTTATGCGACATGTTGGAGCTGCCACACGTCTTGGTACAGCAAAATGACCTAGATGCAAAAGATTGGTCCGTCATTAACATGTTCCCCAGTGGAGAAGCTTTTAACATGGTAAAAAGCAAAAATTTATATTAATAAAATATAATTATAAGACTGACCAAATCACCTAAATAAATAAACAATTCTGTGATAAACTTGTCAATACATAAATTAATTGATAAACAATAGCTTTTTTATTTATATACATATACGAATCTTTTTCAGGTTCTGGAAAGCCTTATAACGATTAAGGAATGGACAAATTTTACAATATTGTACGTAAAAGGCCACAGTTTGAGTCGAGTGAACCATGTCATGATGATGGGCAACGATACAGACCAAATGACTATTTCTGTACGAGAGCTCACTGGAGATGATTATAGGTTTGTTTATTACCATCTTTGTCTTCTTTTTCTTTCAATATATTGTACCTCGCACCGTGGGCATGAACCCATTACTAAACACGGAAGGCTTTAAGAGGTTACACACGACGACTTTCAGCAGCGATGCAAACGAGAGAAAAACGCAATGCAGTAGCGATACAGTCGCTAATCGTCTATCGTCTACCTTTACACCCGCGCGCGATTCGCGCGACTGCATCGACGCAATTGCCTGTAAATCGCAAGTGTAGCGATGCAATCGCAATTCACAAACGTGCGTTTGCATCGCTGCTAAAAGTCACCGTATGTAACTCTTAGTGAATCTATGTCTCATAAATGAATTAAATTTGTTTTACAGAGATGTCTTACTCGACGCTAAAGACAACGGATATTTAAACTTTGTTGTTGACTGTCCTTCGGAGTATTTGGAGTTACTCTTAACACATGCTCAAGAAGTTGACCTTATGTCTGATGATTGTTCGTATATATTCGTCTCTCCAGACTTGTTCACTTTGGACTTGAGTAGATTTAGATATGGAGGTGTTAATATTACAGGTGATATGAGAATACTTATCTTGAGAATTAAATATTTAGGGTTACCTGCGATTTTGGGCTTCCTTAGCTGACTTAATACCTTTTAACTATTTCACAGGTTTGAGATTTCCTGAATTAACAATTTTAAACGAGAAACTTTGGGCGTTCGTGGATGCTTTCAATAATATGACAGCAGTACCAGTGGATGCCGCGGAATTGAAGATCAAGGCGTTACTCGTCTATGATGCAGTTAACGTCTTTTATGCAGGCGTTAAGACATTAAATGAAAGTGAAAAAAGAGCTAACAGTGTATTTGGTGACAAGCTAGATTGCGAGAATTATGATACATGGTCTATGGGAGCAACTTTACTAAATTTTATGAAAACTGTAAGCTGGTAATTTTTATTTACCATAACATTTTACATGTAGGTTTTGGTACGTTGAAGAATACCATATCCGTATATAACTTGTGTCCATATATAAAGTTGTGGATGCGATCATTTATAGTTAAAGTTTAAGATTCTTATCCATAATGTAGTACTTACCCAATCATATTAACCTATTGCCAAATTTATATTCACAAAAATAAGTGCTAAATGTTCGATTTGAATACCGTAACCTTAGTATAAATAAAGCCACATGGTACCACACGTCAAAAGTGCTCTTGTCACTGACAGTCATATAAACTATAGGAACTACATGAAACAAATTATGTATATGCCAAATTTATGACTCTCCTATTTAAACATAAAAGAGTTATTTTTAGTCTACCTCTCTCCTGAAAAGATGTCATTTCGCAGATGTGGGGTTATTACATCATCAGGTTCGATATACATATAGTATACATATATGCATACATTTCCATCTTTTCAGAATAAACTCGAAACAGGCTTAACTAGATCATTGTTATTTGACGGAACTGGACAGAGGAATGATATAATTATAGATATATTGGAATTGACTCCGGCAGGCAATCAAACGGTATGCATTGTTATTAGTAATAAAAAAACCCTGTATTAGCATTTTGAGATTCTCCTTTTTTGTATTATAATAGGTAAATACTGGTTGGCATGATTTTGTAATAACGTTGAGTGTTGTATAAAAGTAAATTATTTACAGATTGGTACTTGGAAATATAACACAACACGCATAAACAGACCTTTCGTACCGACTATGGATGAATATGGTGAAGAAAACATTATGAGGAACAAATCATTTAAAGTTTTGATTGCATTGGTAAAGTATAATGAGACACAAAAAATAAAATACATACATATCATCACGCTTCTCTTTCGTTTGCTGTAGGTAGGCAGAGACAATGTATATCTCCATCCGGAATAAATAATTGTATCTTTAGACGTCCACGTTTCTAATGCACTCAACACAAACACAACAATAAAAACTTTTAATATTTATATGTACAATATGTGAGGTACGCCGTTGGTTTTGTTAATACATAAATAAAAAAAAATTCATGTGCAGTTAATGAAAAATAAAACAAAATGGTTTCCAGGTACTAAGAATAAATGCTTCTGTTCATTTATTCCTGGTACCTGGCCCTTACAATGGTCATCCTCAATCTGTATAGATACTCGTAAACGTTGCATAAATTTGTGTCATTAATCCACTAATAGCCACGATTCTCAGATGTTTCATCGACAAAGCATTATTTTCTTTACTATCTTAGCCACTTCATCACTTTGACACTACAATACTCTCTTGTTCTCTTGTGACAGACTACACATGCTTTTTGTTTTTATAATACCAAGTGACAGGACGAACAAGTCGTGCGCCTGGTAATTATTCGGCCACGGAGTTTAATTTGCCTTTCGTGATACATTTTGGTTATCCATAAAGGCGTGACGATCTCCATCTACCTGACTTTCGCCTTTGACTCTACGTTCAATATCATCTTTACACTTACTTTATTTTGTTAATAGAACTACCAGATTATCAAACTTGCATGTACACTCTTGACTTTCGTTCCTTTTAATCATCATCGTTTTAGTCTCAACCATATTCAGTTTCAATTCCATTCTTTCCAACGCTTCGTAGTCCTGCAGCTGTTATCCCAATGAGGTTGAAATTATTTGATTATCCGTGTAAAGAAGGTTTTTGACAAGTCATCATCAATCCATTTATTATACGTTCCACTCCTGGGCACGGGTCTCCTTTCAGACGAGAGTTTAGGCCATAGTCCGCCACGTAGGCCCAATGCGGGTTGGGGACTTCACACGTTATCCGAGGGTTGTGAACCTTCTTCGACGTGCAGGTTTCATCACGATGTTTTCCTTCACCGAAAAGCTCATGATAAAACTTAGCACATAAATTCCGAGAAACTCAGAGGTGCGGACCCAGATTCGAACCCACGACCCTCTGCTTGAGAGGCAGTAGGTCAAACCATTAGGCTACCACGGCTTCTTGACAAGTAATTCTTTAATATTTATTTCACATTTCAGACATAACCAACAATAAATTATTCTTATTCAGCATTTAAATAATGTTGATCTAAAAATACTTGGAATAAATAAAAAGAAAACAAAAAAATACAAAGAATAACAATTTTTTTTCGTGGTACTACATACTTTCTATTGCTGGAATAATAGTTCTTATTCTTTTAAAAATTTCATTTTTGTGCTTTGATAGACAGAACCATATGCCTATGTGAAAGAGTCGGAAACTGAGTTAGAAGGTAACGACCGTTACGAAGGATTCGCCATTGATTTAATCGCTAGGTTAGCTGATATGTTGGACTTTGGCTACGAATTTGAAGAAGAAGCTGATTATGGATCTTTAAGTAACGGAAAGTGGTCTGGAATGGTTCAGAAAATAAGAGAAGATGTACGTATTTTATATTTTATTAGAAATTTTTGCACCAGATATTAAATAGGTAACCTCCAACTCAGTTTCAACTAATACGCGTGATTTTTTTAATAAATAAGCTATTCACTGATTAACAAACAAATAAGCTACAGTAAAATCATAACTGTATTCTGTTTCTTAAACCATTTTAAATTTAACTTACAGAGAGCAGACTTCGCAATTTGTGACTTAACAATAACCAAGGAAAGAAAAGAAGGTATAGATTTTTCTACTCCTTTCATGACCCTTGGCATCGGCATTCTTTACAAGGAGCCAAGCAAGCAACCTCCAGAGATGTTTTCGTTCATGGCTGTTTTTTCCAGAGAGGTACGATAAGCTAAGCTACTCGTAGATTTATGCAATCGTTTATTTTTTTTATGTTGACAATTAATTTCACTTTGCGTTATTTACGCAGCGTTTAAAAAAATGCAATATATCCATTGACTTACAAAGTCAATGAATATATCCATTGATTTTTTTATTTTAAATGTCACCATAACATAATTGTCACTATTACACGTCACGCTTTCTTTGCACTTTTGTTCATTGTTTACCTCGATAAATTAATTTCTAAACGTTTATCTTCGGGATTGAGGATGCTATCAGAATTTCTAAATATTTTTTGGTCTGAATGTTTCGGATAGTGTTGTTACACGCACATAATGCTTTGCTTAGCAGCAAAGGGGTGAAATTTTATGCCTGCTTTTCTGTTCTCCGATACAACATGGGTTAAGGCGAGAGTAAATAGGCACTCCGTTCTTAACTGAACAACTACAAGATTTCTTTCTATAAGCAGGCCACCAATAAAAACAATCCTACTTTGAGACCTTGGTAATTCGGGTGATTGCCTGGCACATTTAATATTTATTTCACATTTCAGACATAACCAACAATAAATTACTCTTATTCAGCATTTAAATAATGTTGATCTAAAAATACTTGGAATAAATAAAAAGAAAACAAAAAATACAAAGAATAACAAATTTTTTTCGTGGTACTACATACTTTCTATTGCTGGAATAATAGTTCTTATTCTTTTAAAAATTTCATTTTTGTGCTTTGATAGACAGAACCATATGCCTATGTGAAAGAGTCGGAAACTGAGTTAGAAGGTAACGACCGTTACGAAGGATTCGCCATTGATTTAATCGCTAGGTTAGCTGATATGTTGGACTTTGGCTACGAATTTGAAGAAGAAGCTGATTATCTTTGAGTAATTTGATCTTTAAGTAACGGAAAGTGGTCTGGAATGGTTCAGAAAATAAGAGAAGATGTACGTATTTTGTATTTTATTAGAATTTTTATCTTGCTTTTGTTTTTTCAGGTGTGGCTTTACATGATGTTCGTGCAAATGGGTGTAGCCACAGTCATGATTTTTGTAGGAAGGATTTCTCATAAAGAATGGCAAAACCCGGTCCCGTGCGTGGAACAACCCGAAGAGTTGACCAACCAGTTCAGTTTTCACAATTCTGTATGGCTGATTATAGGCTCGGTCATGCAACAGGGTTCTGAAATTGCACCAATGTAAGTCTACATACTCATAAAAATTACACACTACATCCTCTTTATTTTGAATATTACGTACATACATAATTTTAATAACAGTAGAGCTCGTTGTGAAAGAGTTCATCCAAGGAAGTACTGCCAACTTACCAATTTCTGCCACCAAGCAGTATTGTCAGCATTAGTTTTTCAGTTTTGATGGACAAGGGTGCTGGTGAAACCACAGGTGGCACTGCAACTGTCATGGACAGGTGTGTAGCTTACTATCAGGCACACGACCTGTTCGTCCTGTCACTAGATATTATAAAAAAATTACCTATTTCTGCCGTCAAGCAGCAATAAGCATTACGAGTGAAATCACAGGCACATGGGATTCTCAGAGTGACAAGCGCAGTGGCAGTGCCCCTAAGATCTTTACGATCAAAAGCTCTGAGTGGCACTGCACCTGTTATAGATACGTGTATCACTTACTCACGCCTGTCTCTCACCGTGGCAGGCAGATACCATGGACCTCCACCTGCTACGTTCCTGACAAACCTTTACTCCCATCAGTCTCTTCATATATGTCCGTTTATTCTTGGTACTTTTATCCCGACCTTTTAGTCAAATGTTTTAAAATGTTGAAATTGTATCAGGCTCGTGAAACATTTATCTAATGGCCCAACGATTTGTATTATGGGCGCTGTATGTAGAGACCCTGGGTTCGATTCCCATTTGACCAATTTGGGACATTTTTCTAAATCGGTTCTGAGGGTCTACTCTTGTTCTGTGTCTGACATTCTTCCGAAACAATTACTGTCAAATAAGTAATAATCGAGCAAATCACAAGACAATTGCGTCTTTTAATTTTTTGGTCGAGTATCACTTATTTGACAGTAATTGTCGGACGGAAAACAGGCGACACCCTGGTGTGGGTGTTGTGGGTAGTGCCTGGAGTGAATTCCGTTGCTCTGGTATTTATAGTACATGGAAATTTCTACTTTAAGATCAGGTAATTAGTGTGGTTGGCTGTCACATTTTTATTGTTAGCATAAACTTATGTTACTCGTGCTTCATATACAATTTTTGAAGATCATGTGAACTGTAGGAAGAAAGGTAATTGTTCAGTATACTTCTTGCTTTGTAGTGCTCTCGGACCTCGAATCATAACAAGCGTATGGTGGTTCTTCACGATGGTAATCGTGGCATCTTATGTCGGTACGTTAGTCGCCTTCCTGACAGTAGAAAAAGATGTTCAGCCATTTCAGAATATTGAAGAACTGTACAATAGTAAATCTATTTCTTACGGAGCGAAAAAGAAGGGTTCTACTATGAAATTTTTTGAGGTAAGTGTAAGGTGAGGGTGAGGTTTTTTTATTAAACTAAAATGCAACATGTGAGTTTTTAAATACAATTATTTAATTTTTAAGACCTTATATATATTATTTTTCACTGTCTTTAGAAGAATTTGCACCCTTGGTGTTATTACACCAAGGATATGAACTTATTAGGTCTTATTAGGTCCATACTGCAAAGTGACAACTTTTCAGGACAGAGGTTTAAAGATTCTATGAACGAAATTAGTCGATAGCTTTTATGCTCAATTAGGAAAGTTGTTCACATACACATAAGTTTGTTTCATGTAGTTCGTATTATTTTTATAACTTCGAAGTAATAAAATTTTTGACATATATGATCATATATGGGTGTCCGGTAGCCGTCCTCGGAAACGCCGGTATATGACACCCTTCGGCCAAAAGTCTTCTCTCATGAAGGTCGACAGGTGTTGAGTTGGTACTCGCACCGCAAATGAATTAAAATTCACATTGTGGCGCGACTCCAACCGCACAACTCTCAGGTTTGCGTTGGCCTTCACTCGCATGTACTCCACAATATTCGCAGACTTGGTGGAGTAGTGAAGACGCGACACGTATAACAACGTCGTCGGTACCGCTGGACGCAATAAATGATTCGGGCCAGTCAGGGCGGTGCCACTAAGGTTTCGTCTGGTGTTCTTCTTTTTCTTTTCCACCTTCCGAAAGCCGTCCTCGTCGCACTGATCAACTCGTCTCGGTGGTACTGACGACGCAGCTCCAGATACGAGATTATACCAAAGATCGTATTAGGAGTTGCAGCATATACCAGAAATAATTTGTTTTTTGCCTTATAGACTGCAACCAAACCAACTTTACAAAATATGCATAAAAGGATGCTTGAAAGAGGTTGGACAGTAGCGAAAAACGATGAAGGTGTTGCAAGGTACTATATTTTTTAGGTACTATATAATTTGGTTTCCAAATCATCTGATTATACTATGTAACATGTTTCGGGGTTGTAGGTATTATGAAAATAAAAACACGAAAAACCTTTTATTCCCTGCAAAATTTGCCCACCTTTAAGAAAACGTACAAATTTTTGGGTTCTCTTTACTTAAAGACCAAAAGGGAACGTTATATTTCAAATCAAAGGAAATATTTCAAATGGTATATATTGGATGTATTTCAACCAAAACTAGTACTGTTGAACCTGAAACTGAACCTTTTTGAATATTTGTTACAAGTGTTAACATTATCGATTCAAACAATCCTACACTAAATTTATCATTTTTTTCATCTTTGTTTCAACGTCAAATTATTCACTATGATTTGAAAGTTATTGTTTTTTCTTCATAACTGGTAAGTAGTACTATGCAAATGCCTGACACAGTAAAAGTGAACACAAAAGATTATTAACAATTTCTCGTGATGACTTTATATTTATATTTCTTCTTTTTAGGGCAGAAACTCAGAACTATGCATTTTTTTCTGAATCGACGGCTATTGAATACTATACAGAAAGGAATTGTGATCTAATGCAGATCGGAGAACTTCTTGATTCTAAAGGTTATGGCATTGGTATGAAGATAAGTAAGTATTTGTGTATATGAAGAGCCTCTATTAAGATTGTCTAATTTCACTAGTCGTAAATATTATTTGTTTGTAGAAAATGGAAAGATATTTTTAACCGACTTCAAAAACGAGGAGGTTCTCAATTAAACAGTATTCTTTTTCGAGTGTATGCTTCGCGATTACACCGACATTTTGTAATTTGAATCATTATTTTTTGTTGGAAAAGAGGTTTACCCTTTACCCTTTCTAACTTTTACTATCTAGAACTTACTCACTGTCGATAGCTTAGCGGTGGTAACCGCTAGTTGTGCAATGCGCAACGTGAAGTGAGCGTGCCTACAGCTCCGGTACCTATCTGGAAAATAGGGAGGGTACTGTACGTGCACCCGGGGGTGCATCTGGGGTCAGAACCTGAACTTATAACGTTCCTGTGCGCGCACAAGTTATAGTGCCCTTCTCGTATACCCTAAGAGTCGGTAGGGAGGGTCAGTATAATCAAAACTAATGTAGAAAAATATGGAGCTGTCTAGAACTACCCTCTTAAATTACTTAGTTTCTATGATTTTACAGATTCCATATATAAGAAATACATCGACGATGCGCTGCTGAAATTGAAGGAAAGAGGGGAAATACAAAAGATCAAGGATTTGTGGTGGAAAGAAATGAGAGGAGGAGGAAAGTGCGGGGTACGTACTTTAACATATGCGCGTCTTTTTAGCAGTGTTTGTGTAGCAAATCAGTCTATCATCATTATACCCGTGTGTAAGGTGTTAAGGTTGAATAATATTTACACCCGAACGTAAATCTTCCCAGTCCCGAAACAGCTTTGTTTGCACGCGGGCACTATAGGTAGCCCCTTTTGTGAAAACTATAGTAGCAGTAAACCTCCTTGTGACAGAGTTCGTCCAGGGAAGTACTGCTACCTTAGCAATTTCTGCCGCCAAGCAGTAATACATAGGGCACGCAATAAGTTTCCGGAACTGGCCACTTACATAAACAATATTTAAAAAGTAAGTACAACCTTTGAAAATGAAACTACTTCGCTGTGGAATACAGTTCGTTTCATCTGACTGTCACTTGTTTTTACATTTTGGCGGCATTTTAGAAACTGCTTTTGGCGATAAAGCACCATGCAAGACGACTATTTATAGCTGGTTTGCAGAATTCAAACGCGGTTGTGTGAATCTCAATGACGAATTTCGTGATGGTCGCCCGTCCACTGCTGTGAACAACAAAAACATCGATGCTGTGCGCCGTATGATCAAAACAGATAGTCATGTGACATACCATGAGATTCGGGCATCTTTAGGCATAGGCATGAGTCAAATACAATCTATACTACACAAACATTTGGGTGTGAAAAAGCTGTGCTCTCGATGGATCCCACACAATTTGACTGAGGCTCCAAAAACGGATCGCGTCACTAGTGCAATACCATGCTTACCAGATAATATAGGTAATATAGATAGGAAATAGTAACATGTGACAAAATATGGATTTATAGTTACGATCCCAAAACAAAGCAGCAATCGAGCGTATGGGTATTTCGTGATGAGCCGAAACCAACCAAAGTAACGCGCGTGCAAAGTGCCTCTAGGCGGATGATTGCTTCTTTTGTTAATAAAACTGGACACGTGGCTACTGTTGCTTTGGAGAATTGTTGTACCGTGAATAGTGATTGGTACACGACGAACTTATTGATAAACTCCGTAAAAATAACCGTAAGCGCCGTATCATCTTGCACCACGGTAATTCCACACCACACCAAACCAGTTCTCACACGGCCAGACAGATAAATGAATTTTTGAAGGTGAACAACGTTGACCTTATGAGCCATCCCGCGTACAATCCCAACCTGGCACCTTATGACTTTTATTTATTTCCAAAAATTAAGAACCAGTTACGCGGTCAACGATTTTCTTCACCTAAAGAGGCTGTCGAAGAGTATGAAAAATATGTTTCAGAGATTGTCACGAAGGAGTGGCATAAATGTTTTCAAAATTGGTTCATTCGTATGTAAAAGTGCATTAACGCTAACGGAGAATATTTTGAGAACAATAGATTCATTTCTGACCATTTATACTATTTTTTTTCTTATTCATTCCGGAAACTTATAGTGTACACGTATTCGTATGAACATTACTGCGTCCCGGTTTTGAAGGGTAAGGGATTTTATGATTTAAAGCACTGCGTGGTAGGACTACTGTTGTGGACAGGCGTGTCACTTATCACCAGCTGCGCGACTTGTTCGTCGCGTCACTTGGTCTTATAAAAGGAAAAAAATGTGATTTAGCCCTTAAACGCCATTCGTTGACAAGAATAAGCTTGTGCAGATTGTCGCTACTGACGTTGCCTGTACATAAACAAAATCCTAAAGGTGATCGTTCTGTCTAGATAGATGTATGTCCTTGTTCCTTTTCTTGTTTAGGAGCTAGACTCTTGTCAATGAAGTGATCACAAATCTCTGTTTGGAACGTAAAAGGGTACAATTAACATTTTAATCAAAATTGTGTTACATACATATTTGGGATCAGAAAATAAAGGTCTATCTAGTTAGATAGACAAAAAATAATTATTTTTCGTGGTATCTCAATTATTGCGGAAAATACAGCAAGCTCAAAGGGCATGACTGACTCCAATGATCAGATTTTTTTACAATAAAAAGTCATATATATCGTGAAATTACGTAACAAGTACCGGGGACCTCGGCTCTGACTGCCTATTTGCAGCCTTTGGAGTCGAAACCCTTGGCCCATGGGGTCACGGTGTCCTGCATCTGTACAAAATTATATCCAAAAATTTAAAAGACTGGGAAACCCAATGGCCGGCTAAGCTTCCTTGCCCAACGCATTAGCATAGCCACATAAAGGGGGAACGAACGCTGCCAGCATCTTGGGCACTTTGCCGCGGACAACTAGTTCTATTCATTGATTCATTCTATTCATATAATTTAATCCTAGTTTTAATTTGTAGTATTTAAGCTTTTATTGTACCTTACCTGTATATTTTTATTTATTATCTAATAAATCTTTATTACGTTAAAAACACTAATTTTAAATTATTTTATATATAACACAAAAAAGACGCAACTAAATACAGTTGTGCCTTTTAGTTCTATTCATGGGTCAAGTATCAAAAGCCGCATTTAAATTAGTTATGCCCTTTATATTTATAGTCACAATATTTTATTCTACTAACTAATAAAGAAAATTAAGGTATTTTTAAAAACGGCTGATTAAAATACAATGAAAGTTTCTAAATAAAACATGTGGTATGTATTTATAACATAAATTAACTACTTCATATCAAATGAATATTTATCTATTATTTTTATTAGATAAACCTAAAAAATATTGAAACACAATTATCTACGAATTTAGAATTTGCTGCTTATTCTGCTTTCTTCCGAAAGCAGAATTTTTCTCTTTTATCTCGGCCATTCTCTGCGTTTTTCCTTCGATCATCCCTTGTATGTTTCCAAGAAAACTGTCGTGACGTATCAGACGTCCAAACATCTTTCCTCTTCAGTTCTCTATTGTCTTTATTATGCTTCTCTTTTCTTGCACAATCCTTAACACTTCCTCATTGGTTTTTCTTTATCTACAACTAATGGAGGGAATACTCCATTCTTGTCCATCACCCCATCTCAAATGCTCGTGTTTCTCAGTGTCATTGTGTTTGTTACGCGACAGCTCGGCATTTGTGAACCGATTTTGATGATTATTTTTTGTTGGAAAGAGGATAGGGTCCCATTTGAATTTGAAGAAAATATTCCACCTCTAAGGGTAGCAAACAGCAGGGTAGCGGGGTTTTTTTTAGTACTCTGTACTGAGATTATTAGCCATTGCGATTCTTGACACTGTATATCCGAAGTACACCTGGAATAATTAGTTATAAAACTGCTTGAGTATCTAAATTTAGTTATGTCATCGTATGGTATGTTGTTTAGTTTAATGATTGGGTTATCCGTATTGGGTTTTGGTTTTTTTAAATGTCTTAAATACATTTATATTAACATCAATGTTCTAGGAGAAACAAGCAGCTGAACAAAGTCAATTGGAAATGAAGAACGTGATCGGTGCATTCGTAGTGCTGGGAGCTGGCTGTTTATTTGGCCTTATCGCATCTATACTTGACATGTTGTGGGGCGTGTTTAAGCGCTCGGTTAAGTATAATGTAAGTTTAACTTTATTTATTATTGGTAAAATATGAAACATGCTCGTTAAAACTTTTATTTCTCTAATCAATACTTAACGTGGATTTAGCTTTTTAAACCATAAATTGTTGCTGGTGGATAAAACTACCCATTGTACTTTGTTTCAGTATGTTTATTCGTTCTTTGTTTCATTGTTTGATTGCAATAAATACTTTTAATAACATTGTAACTGATAGAAGATGAAACTTGCATACAGGCTAGTGCAACATAGTAGTTTTTTTGAAAATTACCATTGAATTATGATCGAAATTTATTTCACAGACCACCTACAAATATGAGCTTGTGCAAGAATTAAAATTCGCTCTAAAGTTTAGTGGAGATGTGAAACCAGTTAAACGACCTCCCAAGATCGATAAAAGTAGCTCCGAAGCTTTGGCTGACGTTAAGGAAACAGAAGAGGCAAAAGACGAAGTTGGTTCTCTCCTTTCTGCGCGTACGCTGCGTTCTGGAAAATCTACTTCGACACATGCAAGCAGTCATTCGCACAGTTCTAGGCACACTAGCCAAAGTCTTAGTATTGCGTTTGCTAAAAGACGAAAATATAGTTGAATGTGTTCGTACAAATACAATTGTGTTGCTGTTGTAGAACAATTAATTGTTAGAATTCAGTAGACTACTTCTTTAAGTGAAATAATATTGTTATTATTATTTTTTAATACCACAGATATTACTTTTTGTATAGTTTATAGCGGCGTTGAATTAAATAATTTTATATAATATTAATTTTTTTTTATTCAATCGTTAAGGGAACTGAATGTTATTTAAAAAAATATTAATTACATTGATAACTACTTTTTTTTAAGTACCTTTCAAAGAAATGTTTAAGTCTGCTCGTGGGATATATATACAGTAAATATACGCAATAGTCTTACATAGGTTTGATAAATAGAGACATTATATCAGTGTCTGCGTGGCAATGGACACCGGACCTCTGACCACAATCTACCACAGTTCCATTAGCCAAACAAATTGCTTGCAAAGTTATAACTTTGCGGCCCCTTGTTGCTTAAACGATCCTAAAAAATAATTCTGCATAATAACGGTTGAAAACTCAAAAATTGTTCTTATTTACTGAAATACTTTCTGTGGGTGCCAGGAGACCTATTACACAAGCTAGACCTAGTTTAGGCTTCAGTATCTGGTATACTTCTACACAAAAATAGTGTAGTGTAGTAGTAAAATTATTTAGTTCTCCACAAAAATACCAGTATTTATGTGGAGAACTAAATAATTTTGTATTGTATTGAATTGTAATAAAACTGTTTTAATCAATTTTATTGTGGAATTTTATGTTCTTTTTTTAATAAAAAAAAAGTGCGCATTTGACCTCCATCTCACCTGATGGAAAGTGACGATGAGGTCGAGGATGTAGCATGCACACCTAAATAATGCCTATTCACTCTCGCCTTGAAAAGGTCCACGTTATTTTATTCAGGGAACAAGTCTGCAAGCAGGGAAATAGCCACTCGCCATGCGAATGTGGAAGCGAAACGCTTCGTGTGAATCCGGGGAATATCCATAACATAGAGGTGGAACCCCTGCCCACATCTAGTCTCCCGATGATGGAAAGGGGAAGGCGGAATCTAATTATACAATTCCATCGCACACTCTCCGTGATATATCCTGTAGAATACCGATGAGCTGGCAACTCTACGGCGGTGTTCAAGGCTCTACAGCTTCACCTCTACTAATTCCGAGTCACCTATAAACCTCTTAGCACGCTTGTCTATTGAATCCGTGGCCAGTTGGTATTTAGCAGAGCCATCCCATAAGTACAGCAGTACTCCATACACGATCTGACTTGTGCAAACTTGAAGTAACTGTCCCGGTGTGAAGTATCGCCTCACTTTGGAAAGGATGCCAAGCTTCTTTTTGGCTGCATTTTGGCCATGGATTCAATGTATCTGCCATTCCAAGTAGGTAAAGATGGTTGGCTATCGGTCTGGATATATCACGAAAAGTCGGAGTCAGGTGAAACAGACTCCGTTTAGTGGAGAAAAGACACGCCTGAGTTTTGGTAGCATTTGACAAGATTGGCATCGCCCCAATCGGAGATTGCCTTAAGTGTCAATTTCAAACAAGTAACCATGGACTCTTGACAAGATTGGATTTCTTCTCCACTGACCCTTGCATTGGTCAAGTACCTATCCACAACTGTGCTGTCATCAGCATACCCAAAGGTACCGTGAATCAACATATCGTTTATATGCAGTAGAAAGAGAACTTTGGCATCTATCGCCCGATGTTCGGAAGAGTAACCTTCTAAGACCACTTGAATCCAACGTTCACTCAAGAAATCCGAAATCCAATTGCAAACGTCAGTGGGAAGCCCTTAAGAGGGAAACTTGCTTAAAAGGCTTGCGTGCCAGACCTTGTCAAACGCCTTAGAAATATCTAAAGACACTGCAATGGCTTCGCCATGCCCTTCTATAGCCTCGTAGACTCGCTCCATAAGTGAGAGGCTTATAAGAAGATTCCCTTTAGATCGCCCTCGTCGGAATCCGTACTGGCGATCACTGAGGAGATCGTTGTCTTCAAGGTATGACAGGAAACGTTTGATAAGTACACGTTTTATAGCCTTTCAGTGTATGGAAATGACTGAGATAGGTCTATAGTTGACAAGGTCAGCTCTGCTTCCTTTTTTAGGCACTGGTTGCACATTTGCAAGCTTCCACGACCTAAGCACTACACCAGTCTCAAGCGAGAGACGATACAGGTGTGTGGGAATAGGACACAAGTCAGGCGCACAGTCACGCAGTACTATTGCTGGAATTCCATCTGGCTCCCTAGCTTTATGCCTGTCTAGACTTCGCAGAGTTCTGAGTACCTCTTTTTGGCGTAAAGAGTGGTACGTATCCTGCGGCATCCACACGCGAATTCTCTGCAAAGAGTGAGGCGAAGAGATTCGCCTTCTCTTCCGCAGTATGGGCCAGCGAGCCATCTGGCCTCAGCAGGTAATAGTAATGAGTGGCTACTATAGTTTTTTTTCGACCGCTTTGGCCAGGAAACAAAAGGACTTGCTGCCTGCTGGAAAAGAGATAAGCTTGGCCCCTATGCGGTGCACATGGTCGAACTTGGCCCTGCATAATACACTTTTGCTCTTCTTGGCGGCTTTGTTAAAGGCTTTCTCCAGATTCCGAGTATTTGGAATTTTGCGTAGTCGAGCATCTGCCCAGCCTTGCTACGCAAACTGTTTTTGCGTTTCAGCACGACTACAGTCAGCGTTAAACCATGCACGAGATTAGGGTCCATTGGGTATATCGCAGTATGGTATATAATACTCCATGCTCAATCGCAAGACCTCAACAACAACATCAGCACAGCTCGACGAATCACCTAATATAAAGCAATTCTTTCAGGGATATGAGGCAAAAAAATGGCGCATTTCGTCCCAATCTGCTAACCTGTATCGCCACACCCGTCTCGTACCACTGGGGCCCTGATCAGGTGGGGAGTATATAGATACAGCTTTCACCATACAGTGGTCTGGATCAGTTGTTCGAGATAATACCTGTGTCAAGCATCTCAAGAACCTTGAAGCACCGAGTTTTTCCATTTTGTGGCTTCTGGTAGACACAGGAGTTACACAAATAGTGTACTGCTGTGTTTACCGATCGCACAGTAGAGATCAGGAGGCGATCAAGCTGTTCCAATATCTGAGACGTCTGATGAGATTCAGCATAGGTACCCAGCGGCGCAACTAGTCATTTTGGAGGACTTTACTACACACCATCAAGAATGGCTGTTCCCATACCAGAAGACCGATCACGCTGGGAGAGAGACGCGTAAACTTGCGTTAATGCTAAGCCCATCCTAGCTTGTCAGTAGCGCCACTAGGATACCAGATGTTGAATCTCATACGGCTAATTGCTTGGACCTTCTGCTGACAAATGATCCGGACCGATACTCTGTGATTGTGGGGGCCCCACTGGGTACTTCCGACCATTGTCTGATGAAAACTGTATCCGTATACTCCCCACCAGTACCAATACCACCTACTTTACCTCAGGCTGGCTGCACTATGGCGCCAATTCGCATACGCCAAAAAGAGGTACTTAGAACTCTGCGAAATCTAAACGTGAATAAAGCTAGCGGGCCAGATGGAATTCCAGTAATCGTTCTGCGTAACTGTGCGCCTGAGTAGTCTCCTGTTCTCACACGCCTGTACTGCCTCTCACTTGAGACTGGTGTAGTTCCCAGGTCGTGGAAGCTTGCAAACGTGCAACCTGTGCCTAAAAAGAGAATCAGAGCTGACCCTGTCAATTATAGACCTGTCTCAGTCACTTCCATACTCTGCAAGACTATGGAAAGTGTACTCAACAACCGTCTCCTATCGTACCTTGAAGACAACGACCTCCTCAGTGATCGCCATTACGGATTCCGACGAGGGCGATCTACTGGGGATCTTCTTGTGTATTCCTGTCACATATGGAGCGAGGCCATAGAAAAGCAAGGCTACGTTTTTGGAGTGTCTTTGGACATTTCTAAAGCCTTTGACAGGGTCTGGCACGCAAGCCTTTTAAGTAAGCTTCCCTCTTATGGGCTTTCAACTGACCTTTGCAATTGGATCTCGGATTTCTTGAGCGAACGTTCGATTCGAGTAGTCTTAGAAGGCTACTCTTCCGAACATATGGCTATAGATGCCGAGTCCCCCAGGGTTCCGTACTGTCTGCAACTCTCTTTCTGCTGCATATCAATGATATGTTAATTTCAGGTACCTTTGCGTATGCTGATAACAGCACAGTTGTAGATAGGTACTTGATCAATGCAAGGCTCAATGGAAAGGAAATCCAGTCTTGTCGAGAGTCCATGGTTAGCCGTTTAGATTTGACACTCCAGGCAGTCTCCGATTGGGGCAATGCCAATCTTGTCAAATTTAACGCTACCAAAACGCAGGCGTGTCTATTTTCCACAAAACGGAGTCCCTTTGAGCTGACTCCGACTTTTCGTGATATATTCATACCGATAACCGATAACCGAAATTTGAACTTCGGCAGATACATTGAATCCATGGCCAAAAATGCAGCAAGAAGCTTGGGCTCCTTTCCAGGGTGAGGCATTACTTAACACCGGGACAGTTGCTTCAGCTGTACCAAGCACAAGTCCGATCGTGCATGGAGTACTGCTGCCACCTTTGGGATGGCTCTGCGACATATCAACTGGCCACTTTGGATTCAATTGACAACCGTGCCAAGAGGCTTATAGGTGACTCGGAATTAGTGGAGGCAAAGCTGCAGAGCCTTGAACACCGCCGTAAAGTTGCCTGCTTATCGATATTTTACAGGCTATATCACGGAGAGTGTGCGATGGAATTACACGATTTAATTCCGCCTTCCCCTTTCCATCACCGGAGGACTAGGCGTAGGCTTGGGTTCCACCCCTATGTTGTGGATATTCCAAAGATTCGCACGAAGCGTCATGCTTCCACATTTATATGGCGAACGGCTCTGGACTGGAATTCCCTGCCTGCAGACTTGTTCCCTGAACGTTATAACTTGGGCCTTTTCAAAGCGAGAGTGAATAGGCATTATTTAGGTGTGCATGCTCCATCGTCGACCTCATCGTCACTTTCGATCAGGTGAGATGGAGGTCAAATGCGCACCTATATTTTATAAAAACAAAAAAACAGTAGAACTCAACA